TCATCCGCCAAAATGCCATGCACATCTCCAACCTTCCTATGGCTTTACTCTAAAGTCAACTCATTGGTCAGGCCTCTCCTAAAGTAGTTTTTTTTCTCTGCGATTCTGCTGGGCCAGCGGGTTTACGATGGTTTGCTGGTGTAATGAGACCCCAAACTGAAGAGCTCGCTTTCGTTTTCCGACGTAGCTCCCTTCTTGCAGGTTGAATCCAGCGTTTCAAGGATGGTCCAATTCAGAAGAGTTTCGCCGATCGTCGAGTGGCGGAACAGAGCATGAAAGACAGATCTGAGAAATCTCCTAAGATCTTTCGGTTTGCTGGGCATTGTGAGTCCTTCTCTCCCCAAAAATTGAAGCATATGTAACATATTGTAAAATTCATTTGGCTTCGGCACAGCGAAGTCAACATTTAAAGTCAACACCGGAACGGTGAATATCTGCACATGAACAGCATTGAACAGCAAAACATCTGAGAATAAGCTTCAATTTGCGAAGCCAAGGCGCTGTCAGAGTTCAGCAAGGCCGTTCCGAAATCGAACAAAGGCGCCGCAAAGCTGCTTGCTTGCACTGGCAGCTAGCAAGAACCAGAGTGACCAGAAAGTGACCCAGAGTCGACCTCCCAAGCAGCGACCAAGTCGCACTTCTTCGAAGCTGTCACTCCCGCCCGTCAAGGCTCAAAAAGTGGCTCAAAAGCTGGACCTTTGAGCAAAGGCAGTCAATCTCAACGGTTTGGATCCAAACATGCGCAGCCAGAGTAGCTCTGCAAGAGATCCCAATGACTCCCGGATGCACGCCGTCTGAGTCTCGATCAAAAATGATGGAAGATTCCGAGGTGACCCAGCCAGGTGTGTCTCAAGAAAAAAACACGCCACTCTCTCTTGCTCAGAAAGCTCTTTGACCAAGTGGCCGACTACACACGACACCAAACCGAGTTCATGGATGCATCAAACAAGATCTTCCATAGGTCTGCCCGTTTCGATCACCAAGCGCAAAAGTGGCCAAATGATAAAGATGCTCTGTGCGAAAGCCCGCACAAACTTTGGTGTCAAAACGAGGTTGCAAGGATTGCTCATCATTCGCGGCAAAGGCAGGCGAGGCGGCGTGTGGTGCAAGCGGAGGAAGTGAGGTGAATCCAGGTCGGCTGGAGCGACTGAAGGTGGACAGCTGAGGTGGAACAGCGTGGAGCTTTTTCTGCTGCAGCTGCAGCCTCAGGTGAAACCAAAAGAACATCAACACTCACTTCCTTTTCAGCTCCTCCACCGTGAAATAGACGTAATAAAAGTTGGGATCATTTGGGGACCATGTGAACCGTTATGGATCCCTCCACATCTGTTTCGGTTACCTAGTGTCCTCGAAACAACATGTCACTTAGGCCCGTCATGAACGGCTGGAACCCGTGTGCAAACACCGAGGCACTGGGACCGCTGGAGTGTAGGGTCTCTCCATAGGCGTCCACCATGGTCGTCGTCTTCCGAATGCTTCGACCGGTGGGCCTCTCCGGAGCAGGCCCAAAAGAGTAACACCGAATGCACCGACGACGCAACGTGAGTGGTTCCAGGCCCCCAGCCACCCCAGGGAGCTGGTAGCGCCACCCGACAAAATGGTCCTGACTCAGGTGTCACAAGCCAATTGCCGATCTTTTGGACACCCAGACATTTCGCAGCTCCCCAGCCTTAGGCGGGTCCTCGAGCACGTGCTTCCTGTGGGAAATGTGCCAAACGTTGCTCTTTTTTGATTTCCGAAAAGGTGTTCTTCTTTGATACAACCGCCACTCCAGAGCCTTGTTTCTCAGCTCACCAGCCTGGTGACGCAAAGGATCCTCCTGCCGCTTCAGGATGGTGGGGCAATTATCATGAAAGCAGAAGCCACTTAAACTTCCAAGGGCTCTCTTGGCAATGCCGCGAATTCAACGAGTCTCTGGCAAAGCAAATGAAGATTTATCTTTATAGAAACAACATGAAACCAACCACCCGGCAACACCGCTCCAAGAAACAGGTTTACAACGATGAGAGCGCCCCTCGACCAGGCCAACATCTAGGCCAATCCCGAGAAATTCCAAAGGAAAGGAGCGCAGCTGAGGTGTCTCTGGGAAGGGTCTGGAAGTGCCAAAATCACCAACTCCAAAAGACCAAACCACCAACTCCTGGCCGCGACGGCATCATCCGCGACGGCCGAGTTCCAATAAGGATCATTCAAATGCCTGAAGCTAAGTGAAATAACCGGTTCAGTAAAAGGGGGTTGAGAACTCAACACGAGCACAGGTCTTCAATTGACTGCAGCTTTTGGAAATCTACGCCCCACGCGGGGGTTCTCCCAGGCTGCCCTGGCCGAACCAACCCCCGGAGGAACGCCACATTGTGTTTCAAATGTCGAACAGGAAGGAAGGAACGGTTTGGAGCTTTACTCAGTAATTAACAAACAAATATGTTCAAAATCTTCATCTACTCTCCGATCCTGTCCTCAGGCTGAGAAGGTTCTTTGTACCCGGTAGGTGGAAAAACGGTGGCAAGAACCGTTGGACCCCCCCGAAGAGAGCGATGAGCAACCTTCGTTGGACCCATCCCAGAATCGGTGGCTCTATTCAGGAGGGGAGGGGTGGGTGGCGTGGTCCGCAGACGTTGGCTCTCAGAGTTCCAACCCACTTGGCGGCACCTCTTCTTCTGGGTCCTCAGCACTTGCTCGTGCATCGGAATAGTGTGTTTCTGCAAACCCACCAGCTTCAAGCAAAAAAGTCGAATGAACAGATCTATGTCTATTTCCATATGATTCTTGGTAATGCGTTCATTCAAACAGAAGTCTTCACTCAGCATCTCGCCGCATGAAGCTGGCCTGGCAAGAAGCATCCCGCACATCAGCGACGATCCATCACCGGAGAGAAACAATGTTCTTCCAAATCCCACACCAGTGGAGTTCCTCGCGAATCCCGTCGAAGCGAGTCATGGCATTTGCTAACCACATCCAATCACTCGAGAAATTCATCCATTTTGGCCTGCTGCACTCAAAACCCCAAATGGAGTGACCCATGTCCATAGTCTTCTATGCGGTGCCAAGTAGAATCCCCCAAAACGCGGCACCTTTGCTGTAACAGCTGGGCGCGAACACGGAACGGAATCTGATATGCTCTGCAAAATCACTGGGAAGGGGATTTACAAATATTTACAACCAAGTTTGGGGAGAGCTCTTTCATCAATCTCTCTGCTTTCGCCTCTTGCATCACGTCAGCCATATCTGGGTTCCTGCAACTGTTAAACGCTGACCGCAAAAGTGTTTTCACCGCCTCAAGCGGTCAGAGCCCCCATGATGTGATACGTCAAACCGTGGCCGCGTCAGGCCTTTGCTTTTCATGACGTGAAACAGATGCCAGCCAGCTCCCGAGCCTTGCTCAAAAGCAACTTTGCACAGTATGAAAGGCCGTGCCTGGCAAAGGAAACTCTTCCGATGCTTCGGTAAAAACAACATTTGCACAATGCTCTTGGGAGGATCTGTATCGAACAAAAAGGGTGTGCTCTCCACAGGCCTTACGGCAGGACAGCGTTCGCCTCAGATGAAGCTGATTATATAACCATTCTGCAACCCTCAAAACCAAAGAACTCAAGTGTCCAGGCATTCAAGTAATGATTGGTGCCACTCTCTCAGCTTGAGTATACGGCGCATTCTGAAGCAGGACACGGAGCCCTGAAATCCCTGCATTGACGCGGTTCCCTTGGGCCATGTGCTTGGAGCCAAGAAACCGCGATCATCCACTTCCCAAGGCACTGGCCAAGAGCCACATCATGTCGCCAGCACTATTGGAATGCAAACACTTTTCCCAGGATGATGCGCTATACAGAATCCCGACACCATTGATCTGTCTTGATCTTCGTCCAAGCCTTCAAGAGTCCACCGTCAAGAAGAAAAAGGATCGAAACCTTCAGCCCACTGGCAAGGGCCACTTGCCTCCAAAAATGTGATTTTTGTAGGGTTCATTGAAGTTCATTCTCTTGCAGGCTTCGAGAATTTCCAACGTTTATCTCCAACTATCCCACAGCAAACCTAGTGGTTTTAACCCTCACTTGTTGGGCAAACATTGAACAATTATCGGCCCGCACCGAGATGAATGAACAACTGCCGTTAACCAAGTGCTTGGGTGCGAACATGTTTGCCAATATTGATTCCACATGTCAAGTGCTTTTCCGACTCTTTGGTGGGCAGATTGACCGGTCACGTGAGGCTACAACATGTACATCGTCCACCATGCCCAGCCAGGTGGAAAGGCAGGAACGACCACCTCACATGGGAATGACTGGCTGAATAGTCTACCAAATATGTGGCCCCTCTGAACAGGGAGTGGGTGACCTTGCAACATAGCAAAGGCTGAGGAGCAGGTCTAGGCTATCTGGGACTGGCATGCGGCTTCAATGTCACAAGTGCCGGAACATGTCGGAACCTTTCCTTGGACTTGGCAAAGCAAACGAGGGACACGAGGGAACACATGATAACGCTGCAGCACTGCACTATACGCCTTTAACTTTTCAGAAGTGCATCATCAGGACGAAAGCACCTCTTTGGGATGCTTGATGATGCTTGCTATTGAGTCAGACTCAGGCGAAGTAAAGGCTGACGAGCTCCTACCAGTGCTGTTGTCTCTCTTAGTGCCACAGGTGCCTAAAACTTTGGCCGAAAACTATCCGCAAAAGGCATGAGCCACCTGTCAAGACATACATGTCGGAAAGAGCCCTGGGACCAAAGACTCCAAGAAGCTTGGCTGCTTGGAAATCAAGCCTTAAGCAAGTGGCGGCGCACCAAAAGCAGGAGGAACTGCAACACTCTTACAGACTTCAGCACGTTTCCTGGCAGTGGTTTCAAAGTATTGAGGAAGCAATCACCGTGACCAACTGTGAAAAGCACCTGTCAGGCATGCTGGATCATGTTCATACGCCACCGCTATGTTTACAGGTCGAGTAGCGGTCAGGACACTGTGGAACAGTGCAGGAGACCCGAATCGAGCTTGGCCCTTAGAAAAGGCTCGGAGTTTTTCCTTGTGGTGCAGGCGCATCATTTTGCGCGAGAAGGGCAACCATTTTGAACTGCTAGCGGAGCCCCCAAAGAGGGGCCCGCTCGGACGCGTTGATGGCAGGGACTGGACAAGAAGGCGGCAAGCATGAAGCAGCTGTGAAGAGGTTTTCAGGCGATGGCGCTGACCCCGAGGCTGACTATCGGAGGTGGAAAAGATGGTCAAGGGCATACCTCAGTGTTTAGAAAGCCCGCGGAACCTCTGAAGACACGCATGGAAGCTTGCTGTACACCCTGTTGGACGGAACTGCATTGGCGACCTTTGATTCCATATCGATGGACGATATCGATGGACCAGGAAGCCATGATCTGTTGTTCCAAACGTTCTGGATAGAATATTCGACCTCAAGATCGACAAGGGTGAGTCCACCGCCACCTATACGGGAAATGTCCGAGCAGCATTCGCAGCAGCCGAATCGGAAGGTGTTCGATTCCTATCGGTGGCTCGTGGCTATGTACTTCTTCGTTTTCTGAAGCTGTCACAGGAGCGAAAGGCGGTTGTGATGGCCGTGGCAAGGCAAAGCTATATGAGGAGAAGGACATTGCCTCGGCGCCCCGCACGACATATCCTGAGAACTTGTATCAAGCCACGAGGCAATCCACCAGTGTCCATGTGGCTGTGAGGTTTCCGATGAGGAGAACTTCGAGGGCGACGACCTGGAGGAGGACCCCATCTTCTCAATTGACATGGACGACAATGAGCTCATTGAAGAACAGAATGCAAGACAGACTGTTTTCTGAGGCGACAGACTTGACTTGACTGGGGTTGCCAAGGAGAAACTCCACCGGAGGTTTCGCCGGCCGTGGTTTCGGCAGAAGCTTGAGGCCAGAGTTCGATGCTTCAAGTGCAAGTGGGCCACTTCAGCCGCGAGCTATGGCAAGGGTTGTTCATCGTCGGCGTTGACGGCATCAACCAACACCAATCAGTCAAGGGTGAACTATGTCTTCATGGTCTGGCCAGTTTGGTCCAATGCCTTCCTCCCTTTTGGCATCAAGGCCAATGGACTGCCTGGGCCACCAAGCTCGGATGAAGATGCAGAAGCCACAGAGGTGATGCATATGCAAGATCCTCCAGGACCACCGTGGTTTGGACAGCAAGTCGAGGCTCGAGCCAGTGCGTGGCTGGGAATACATCCCCACGACAGTCCTTGTTCACCCCTGGGTCGAGTGGATGTCCAGTGCCGAAGGTTCGCATCACTCGAACCATCCAAGAGGATGGCACCACGACCCACATCAAGAGCACAAACTGGAGGAGAAGAGACCAGGCTCATACGGGCCAGGACTATGAGTGGACTGGACAAACGATCTGTCTGCTCAGAGACGCCGGAGAAGTCGACCCAAATATTGATGTTCAGGAGCGATCGATGCAGACAGAGCAACTGGAAGATGAGACAAGTGTCCAAGACCTGAGATGTGGAATGAACCGCCGTCAGATGACGAAGAGGAGAACAAGGAAACGCTGGCAGCATTGGTGCATGGCGCTGGTTTTGGTGTCAACACCGGCGGTGACAGAGGGCTGGTCGGCGAGTGAACTCCAAAGGCATGGGTTGGACACTGTGGAACTTCCTCATGAACCTCATGCTTTCAGATATGGCAACGGCTCATGTGCAGCTTCCAGTGTTCATCAAGGGCAGGCAGATCATGCGTGTCCATGTCGTCCCAGGTGTCCCACTCCTGGTGTCCAAGAGATTTCTCAACTCCGGAGCCCAGATTCTCGAGACGAACACATTTATTCTGAAGATCCATGTGACGACAGAATGGGCCAACGAAAAGATGGCTCCGAGCTCAGCTCGACCTGGAGATGACGACCCCCTCACTTCGATAGAGGTCGACGTGTTGAGTGCGCAGATGGGAGAGAACACCAATCTCACGGACGATGACCAGGTGATGGACGGAGACAGAAAGCCGAGAGTCAGCTGATTCAGACACCGCCGGAAGAAAGTGAGTCAAAGGATGACGAGGCCGTGTCGTTGGCCGTCTTCAAGGCTGATGACCGCAAGAAGGTGCAACAGAATCTTCTTCAGGTGCTGAGAACCCATGCCGAGGAAGCTCCGACGGTGGAGGTGTTCTGCCCGGGTCGCTTTCGCGCTCATG